ACTTCTTCCAAGGGAGCACGACAGCTTCCCAGCTGGTGCATGTTCCTCCCACCCAGCTCAGCTCCTGCACAGCCCCACAGCATTAGTGGCAGCTGCAGGGGGAAGGGCAGGAGTGACCAGCCAGCCACCATAGCTGCTCCCACGCCAGGAAGCCAGGGCCTCGGTGGTGTCTCCATGGGGGCAGCTCGCCTCCCCGCCGGCAGTTCCTCCTCCAGTATCCCGCCCGGAAGCTGCAGCGCAACAGCCGCCACCACTGCCGGGGGCGAGGGAGCAGCAGAGGTGTAAACAGGCAGGCCAGGGCACTGATGTGCATCTGTGGTCTGGAGCACCTGGCTGGCTCAGGCACAAGGGGCAGCGTTTGCTGTTGTTGTAAATTATTACTTGGTAAATGGTCACCCATAACAAACCAGCTTTTCCAGCTCTGTCACAGATCTGTGGATGTATGTATGAAACTATAACATGTATGGAAAGCTATATTTGATAGCATGTTCCAGAAGTACAAGATTTCTAAATCAGCAGGTCTCACAATTAGAAAATCTCACTATCTATGGATACTATATCTGGGCTGCAAAAATACAACTGCCAGACTTCTGTAAACTGCCCAGATTCACTGAGGTGAGACAGACTGTGTAGAAATTTAATAAATAAATACATAACAGTTACTGTATAATAATCTTCTGTTTCTTTTGTTTTGCAGTGGTCAACTGGAATTCTGCAGTCCAGGAAGGATAGTCAAATCCAAGCCATCCAGACAATTTAGTTATACCCACTTGTGCAGCTGGAGAGTTCGTCTGGCTAAGATGATTTTCTTCTGGGAAGAAATCTTGATGAGCACGTCTCCCCATCTTTACTACCTAAACATGAAGAATATTACTATAGTTATTCAAAAGATCTCCCTCAGAACTGCACATAATAATGGAATGCAGGAATAATCAATCTTTGTTTGATAAAAACTTTTTGTTATATTTGAAAGATTCAATTCTTTTGAACAAAGTTTTCTGTCCCTCAAATACTAAAGGGTAAGTTGCACTGGATATAGTTTGCTTCTGAAAAAGAAAATGTGTGTAAATTTCCCTGTCCCGTAAATTTATTGTGAGAGTAATTGAGGATGAAGTTTTGGTTTGTTTAACTGACCTTCCTCTTTCACAATATTGTGTAGGGACCATTCATAACCTTCAGGTTTTCCTACCATTTCTTTTGATATGCCTTAATGCATTACCAGAAAGAGTTCATTAAGGAGAGAAAGATGGACAAGCTTCACAACAATGCTTTTTGGAACTATTGCTCAGGAAACATCTTGAGGATAGTTGATGTGTGAAGGGGTGAAAAGTCAAAAAGCTTCACCAAGAAGAGTTAAGGGATTAATGTCTATGGAGATTCTCAGTCATCCAGGTCATGGTTGTCCCAAAGGTATTTTTTCAAGACGCAAATGGACTTTCTGGCCTTTCTTTGAAGACGTTTCATTTCTCGTCCAAGAAGCTTCTTCTTCCCACCATCCAGCCAGAGCTGAAGAAACTTCTTGGATGAGAAACGAAACGTCTTCAAAGAAAACCCAGAAAGTCCAGTTGCCTCTTGAAAAAAGCACCTTTGGGACAGTTAAGGGATTAGTTAACCTTGGTGGTTGTAAAATATATAAGATATATAAAATCATACTAGGCAGCGCTTCCCCGCTTGCGGATGTCAACTCTTTCTTTGTAGCAATGGTCGAAGTGCGTTTCTGCTGACCCTCGGAGAAAAACGTTCGACCGGGAAGCTCTGCAGCTGTTTGCCGTTTGAAGCCTTTTTAACGACCGGCGCGCCCAAATCTGAGTTTTTCAACGGAGCTGCGGTACAAACTTGGCTACGCGCCTATCCAGAGAGACCGAACTCGGGGGCTTGGAGAGGGGGCTGGGGGTGGCTTTGTGGAAGGCGGGGGGCAAGACTTCAACCGCGAAGTCCTACCAAATGCCTGAGGAAGGCGATTCTTTGCCCGCCAGAGGAAATCACGCAAAAGGCGGGCTGCAAAATGGGCCGGGGGCGGGGAGGAATTGTCCGTCCGTCACCATGGCAACCGTGTCCTCTCGCTCGCCTTACCCCCTTGCAGACCTCCTCATCCAGCTCCAACTCGTCCTCCATCCCTCAGGCCCAAGTATGCAGGAGCGCGAGATTGAGGGCGAGGAGCCGTTTACTTCCGGGAAAAAAAAACACCCGCCCTTTAAGCGTCCATAGCAACCACGACTTCCGCTTAAAGGGTCTGTGAAAGGTGCTGACCATGCAGTATTCCTTGGTCTCGCCCTGGAGTATTTAATTACGTAGGTGCTCGCAAGGCACGTGTTTAAAGCATTGCTCAGTCTTAAGAAGAAGAACTGCAGATATGTCTTTAAGTCAAGGATCGGTGGAAGGCTCCTTGAGGTCAAGCTGTGAATGTTAAGAAAACTAAGTTAAAACTAAGGTCTCTAAATTAAAACTAAAGACTAAGAAAAGCAGAGACGGTTTAATGCCTAAGAGGTCTGTGCGTTTGTGTTTCAGATGAAGAAAATATTTCACCCTGAACCAAATGCTTGATTTTCAAGAAATTGAATCCCCAAAGAATTTCTCATATTAGAAATTTCCATACCAATAATTGCTTTCCGTAATTTCACCTGCTGGACATTTATTGCACTTATATGCTAGCAAAGCAGTCACATGACTGCTCTTATTATGCTCTTATACAATATTTGCTTATTGTAGAGCAATTTGCATAAAATGCCCTCTTTTGTTACAGCATGCAGATAGTGAAAGTTGATTGATGCGTAGAATAGAATTAGATTAGAATAGAATTAGATTAGAATAGAATTAGATTAGAATAGAATTAGATTAGAATAGAATTAGATTAGAATAGAATTAGATTAGAATAGAATAAGAATAGAATAGAATAGAATTCTTTATTGGCCAAGTGTGATTGGACTCAAAAGGAATTTATCTTTGTGCAAATACTCTCAGTATACATAAAAGAAAAGATACATCCATCAAGAATCATAAGGTACAACACTTAGTGATAGTCATAGGGTATAATAAGCAATCAAATCATACTAGGAAACAGTCAATATAAACTGTAAGGATACAAGCGTCAAAGTTACAGTCATGCAGTCACAAGTGGGAGGAGATGGGTGATAAGGAGTAATGAGATGGTTAACAGTAATAGTAGTGCAGACTTTGTAATTGTTAAACAGTGTTGAGGGAAATATTTGTTTAGCAGAGTGATGGCTTTCTGGGGGAAAAACTGTCCTTGTGTCTAGTTGTTCTGGTGTGCAGTGCTCTATAGTGTTGTTTTGAGGGAAGGAGTTGAAACAGTTTATGTCCGGGATGTGAGGGGTCTATAAATATGTCACAGCCCTGTTTTTGACTCATGCAGTATACAGGTCCTGGATTGAAGGCAGGATGGTAGTAATTGTTCTGTAATAGTTGGTTTTATTACATTGGAATATGTAATGTTAATTGGATTCATTGGGCACTAATGACTCAATCTTTATGAGAAAGAATTACTTCCTTATTTTCTAAATATTTAAATTGTTGCTTTCTATGTGCATTGTTTTCTTCCTCTTGAAACATTTGGAGAACTCATGCCATTGCTTTATTGTACTTTAGTTGCTATATTTTATATTTTGAATATTATTCGGTAAAAGTAAAGTACATATTTAACAACAAATCAATTAAAATATTACCTATAGGTGTAAGGAATGGCATATTTCCAACAGCATGTTTTCATTCTAAGAACCACTAAAATAAAACTGGAAATAGGTTGTCACAGGAAGAGAAATGGTTTAAAAAATAGAAAAACTGCATTGGGTACACTTTAGCTGTAAGATTCAAGATACTGTTTAGCAGCTGGAAATAACTGGGAAGGGAGGATGATATACAGTAATGCCAAAATATTCAATCTATTCTCTTTTTCCCTTTCAGGAACAAGCTTCCTTGAAAACCATTCCAAGAGGAGCTTCTCCTAAAAGTGAGGAGAGCATTGTCCACCAGAGGGCATTATTCGCTTCCTCGGCTGTCCTTTATTGCTATTCTGCAGCGATTTATGTAATAAATAAAATTAATGAAGTGGGGCGGGGTCACGACATACACCATAGTTCTTTTTTATTATTAATTTTAAAGAGAATCAGATTGGCGGGGGTGGAATACAAACGATGATTTTACAAATTCTAGAAATTAAAAACATAACACACGGTAATTCCAAACCGCTTGCTAAATCAATTCACAACCTCACGTTCCCAATACTTTACAAACAAAACAAAACAAAACAAACGGGAGAGAACACCCAGTTCTTCAAAACACAGCATAATTGTTTCTTTTTCTCCCTGTCTTCAGGGTCAACGTCTTGTCATGACACTGTTACAGCAACCTTGAGACCGAACTTTTCGGCGCTGTACCATCGTAATACGTTCAAGCCATCGTTAAAAATTAGGCTCTTCGTTACAATTCAACCGATCTGCCAGGTTTACTTGGAAGAGATCATTTCACCAAGCTTTATATTTGAGTATGGCTGCGGGATCGAATCAGTTCAGTTCGTCAAAAGCGTTGAGTCCTGGGGAACGATTCGAGTGCAGGATCATACAGGTGTGCCAACACATAGATTCCACTTGTTGGCACCACTGGTGATCACGGGATCGTGGCAAAATACCAGCACGCAGACTGGGATGCTTCGAGGACGTCGGCTGTCATCGTGGCGCCTCGAAAAATTTCCGACAAACTTTCCCAGTTTTATTTCACACCCCTGGATTTTCGGGCCCGCCATTCTTCGGGGTGGGGGGGGAGACGGTTAGCCTGCGGATACAATTCGTGAGGCGAACCTTTCAGCTCCTACTGATAACTTTCGTCGACGCTCGGAAGCCGAAGCTCCCAGGCGCCCCCGCCTTCCCAGAGCCCGAAAGCGCCCCCTAAGCATTGCGCTGGACACGAAGGCTGGGCTTGGAGAGAGAGAGCCCTCGGTTGCTCCCCCTGTGCCCGGCCCGGTCTCAAAGACGTCATGAGAGGGAGGTATAAAATTTCAAGCGAGAGAAACAGAAGCAGGCAGTGCGCCTGGCGAGGAAAGGCAGAGGAGGCGACGGCGAAAGGGGGCCGAGGAGAGCGGAACGGCTGGGTCTCGGCGGAAAGCAAGAGGCAGCTTCTACCAGAAACCGGGCAGCCTGGAGACGGCGGAAGAGCTCCGAAAGCCGGCCAGGGGCCACCGCGAGCAGCTTTGCCCGCCCGAGCCAAGCTCAGGAGCTCTTGAGAAGAACAGCAAAGGCCATTCAGGCGCGTCTCTTGAGGGGAGCCCCGCTCGGCGCAGTTCCCACCGGCATGGCGAGCGACGAAGCAGCACGAATGGACAGCCACAAGTGCGCTTTCGGTCCCTGACACGTGCGCTCCCCGTGGAGTCTCCCCGCCGCCTGCCTCCTCCGAAGCTGCCCAACGGCGCAGCGGGATTGGGAGGCCAGGCGAGGCGGTGAAGCCGGCAACTCGGCCCGATTTGCCCCCTGCGCGGACGCCCTCGCCCTCATGGAGAGCAACCCCGGCGGGACGGAGCGCCGATCCGTTTCCTCCTCTGCCTCGACGGTGGCCGTCGGCTCTTCCTAGGCTTGGTGTCCAACCCGCTCCCGAGGCCGGCGGGGAGATCCTTCATGCCCTTTCTCGCCAAGTGCCAAACGGCAGGATCTGCTTGGTCGCCCGCAGGTTTCCTGCGGAGTTACCCCGCCGCCCTTTTCCCACCTTGCGCCACGCCTGAAGATGCACTTGCGCGGGACTTTGCTGCTTCTCTCGCTCCTGAGCTTGGCCACGGTGAGCCTGTCGCTCTCCTCCTGCACGACGCTGGACCTGGAGCACATCAAGAAGAAGAGGATAGAGGCCATCCGGGGCCAAATCCTGAGCAAGTTGCGCCTAACCAGCCCTCCAGAGAGTGTGGGGCGAAGCCACGTGCCCTATCAAGTCCTGGCTCTGTATAACAGCACCCGGGAACTACTAGAGGAGATGGAAGAGGAGAAGGAGGACAGCTGCTCTCAGGACAACTCGGAGTCCGAGTACTACGCCAAAGAGATCCATAAGTTTGACATGATCCAGGGCTTTCCCGAACACAGTAAGTCTTTGTTCTTTCTGGATTCCGGAGAGCAATTTAAAAAGTGGGGAGAGGCGGGAGGCGATGCCTACTGAACATTTATTCAAGAGGTGGGGGGGAAACACAGCATCCCCTCTTGAGAACGGGAAGAGGAAAGCAAAGTCAGCAAGCAGTTAAAGATTGGAGTGTGGAAAAGACCCACAACAGCTGAGTTCTTGTGGCCTAGCTTAGAATGACTGAGTCCTCATGTAAGCTTAGATCTGAATCCAGAGCAACAGTAGTCTGTGTTCTCTGCAGTTGTTTAGTTGCTTGTAAATTCCTGGCTGCAAAAATAAAGGGCATTTCTCTGCCAGGTCTCTCAAGAGATCTATCCTGATAAATAGGTCCCTCCCTTTTTTTAGGATGCAGAATCTTGTCTGGCCAAGAAGTTGGCAATAGCTGTTCATTGCGGCATTGTGTATAAGTGAGTGGTGCGTGCCTGCCAAGGCACTGATATTTATGCAAATGGATGAGAGTACACTTGTATGCGCGCACCATCAAAACTGATTGCCTGGACATATATTAGATGCACAAGTGATCTCTGCAAATATTTGTGTGTGTGTGTGTGTGTGTTTGTATCCATGTCTGTGTATATCAGCAAACACAAAAGACATGTGTAGATGTGTTTCCAACATAACCAGAGATGTTAAGTGTATGTGTTGGATATGGAGAGAACACTTTGAATATGAGAATAAAGTGTATCTGACTTTAGAAGTTGCATACAAATTTAACTCATGTATGAAAGTTATGGGCCAAGCAGACTTGTGCAATGATTTTTTAATACCTATCTTTATCAAACACACTGCAGTTTTGGGTCTGGTAGTGTGCTCAGATGGGTTTTCTAATAATGGAAGAATCAGAGAAAGAGGCTGTGAGTCTCTGGCCATAAGTACTTTTTCCTTGACTGCCATTAGGTGGCCTCACGGGCTCTTGAATTAATAGCAGAGCTGAGTGGGAGGTGAGACAGAAGACGTGGCCAAGTATCCTTGAGGGAGGGGTAGAAAAAGCAACAAGAGAACGGCAGGAATACCTTCCAAGCTGTTGGTGATGAGTGTAGAGGGCTGAAGAGGGAGGGAGTGATGAGGGTCAGAGCTTAAACTATTCCGGGCTGCAATCTCTGCACCCTTTTTTGAAAGTATGTTTTTACTAAGAAAAGTAGGGCTGGCCACTGAGCAAACATCGGTAGTCTCTTGGAAGCCTGGAGCTAGCCTCTGTGAACCCAACAGTTATCACACACATCATGTTTTTATGTTGTGTAGCCCCTTTCCCGTGGGTAGAAAAGTTTTAGCATTGATAATAAGCAAGTTCAGCTAGCTTTCCATGCCTTGGAATAGTATCATCCCCAAATCCAGCCAGTGTGAGAAGAACCCAGGATATCTACAAAGCTCAAGTAGGAGGTCCGGGTGGGGGTGGGGGTGGGAAGAGAGCAACGAAGAACTGGGAGTGGGTGGGAGCAATGCACTTCAGGACTGAGAGAGCAAAAAGCGTTCTGATGCTTTGAAGCTGAAATTATTTCTGAAGGACAGAGTAGATACTGTATACTTTCCATATGGGACTAGCAATCACTGCAGATGCCGGGGAAGCTTTCTCCTACAGAGAATTCATAATGTATTTTCAGCCACAACTGGCATGGCAGATTTGGTTTCTGCTTTGCATCTAATGAAGTAAATCATTCAGTGATCAGCAATCAGTAGGACTATTGAACCTGCACATCAGGAGCAGTGTTGGAATTATAAAGAAAATATTTGGCAAATTTGGCCATTCGGCTACTTAAACTTTTCACCAGTTCTGCAAACCTTTAAAAAAATCTCCTTATCCCCCAGGTCCGTATTGTGCTGTATATCTTGATTGTCATAATAGTTTTTTGGCCAAGTTGTTGTTGGAAACTAAAAAGGTGCTGGTGCCTTTCCATGCAGAGCCTTGGCTTTCTTTGCACTGGGTGCAATCTCAGATCTGACAGCATAGTCAGCGGCAACAAGGCTCTAAGTCGGAAACTCAGCCAATGTAGTGTGGGCAGCTACCCTTTAAAAATGGCTTTTCTTGTGAGAGATACCAACAGAGTTGTTTATTTACATCATCACATTATTTCCCCTCCAAGAAATTCATTAAGTTGAAAAATGTGGACTTGAATAAGAGTCAACATATTATTATTATTATTATTTATTTATTTTGTCAAATGCTTACAATATAATAGACATAAGAATAAACATAAGTTTAAATACATGAAATAGGAACTAATAATTAGGGACAATAGGACAGGGACGGTAGGCATGATTATGCTCTTATGCACGCCCCTTACAGACCTCTTAGGAATGGGGTGAGGTCGATAGAAGTTAGTTTGAGGGTAAAAAAGTGGGGGTTTGAGCATGTGACAACAGAATCAGGTAGTGAGTTCTAGACATTGACCACTGTTGCTGAAATTGTACTTCCTGCAATCAAGTTTGGAGTGGTATAATAATACCATAATAGAGGTGTATGTGTGTGTGTGTATATATATATATATATATATATATATATGTATGTGTATATATATATGTGTGTGTGTGTGTGTGTGTGTGTGTGTGTGTGTGTGTGTAAACATAATAAGCTTCTTCATAATGTGGCATTGTGAAAATGATACATTATGGAACAGATATTAAGCAAATCAGAGGAAAGGAGGATTCTGAGTGGTCTTCACAAAGGTAAAAAAAAAACCAAAGATACAGATGTTGTACATCTGTGCTTTCTCTTGCCACGAAATAGTAGAAATATGGAGCCACAGAAGATGAAAAACAATAAATGTCCTGAAGCCAAATGAAGTTTAAAATAATATTTCTGAGTTTCAGAAATTTCACTGTAGTAGTGTAATAACAAAAGAGGAGTTTATAATAAAAAAGTATTACAGCACCTAGACTGTGGCATACAATGATGTTTGCCTCATTTTTCCTCAGTGAGAGAAGTTTCAGGGGTTCATTGCTTAACTGATATGAATTCATGTTAGGAAAATCATAAAAGGATTATGGAATTATTCAGTATTTGAGTTTAGTTACAAATATAACTAAACCCCTCATCATTTAATTACAATGTTTCACATTCTGTTCTGAAAAAGAAGTAACCAGTAGAACAAGATGCTTCTATAATTTACTCAGTTCAGCCAGCTTACTGATTTTTCTGCAGTGAAAGCCACTGCAGTCTCAAAAGTTGCTTCTATTGTTTCTATGCTGACTTAGATTACATCAGCCTTAGCTGAAAGAAGGCCCCGCTGCCCGGATTGGAAGGTATGGGGAGGATCCAATTATTTAAAATAATCAGTCAACAAACTCTTTAACAGGGGATATTGCTTGAAGCTTGCCACCACCTCTAAATTCTGCCCCATTCACATCTCCTTGTGCAGTCCTATTTTGAGGCACGTTTTCCTGAACAAATACCATTTGAAGGATTAAAAAAAATGTCTTCTGCATCCTTAGCCAACATGGTTATATTAAATGGGATCATGGGAGTTTTAGTTCAATAAAGTTGGCACTTTAAAGTTACTTATTCAATTCTTTTCCTGATCCACATGGAAACTTTCTGAACAAATCATGCAGCAACCTAAGAATGTAGTTATTCAGGAGATAAATGAAAACTCAAGGAAGAGTTGCTTGAAATATTATTTGAGAAATAACATGAAATGTATGTTCTGTTTCCGTCTGTTCCTTGTTACCAATTGGAAAGGAATTTGGTGGAAACTTGCAATGCTCTACATAAGAGACAGCAAACAATTAATGGATATAACATATACCTTTCACAACTTTTCAAATATCGTAACTGGAAAAAAGTAATCCACAAATGACCTTTGGGATTCCTCTGTCTACCAAGCTGCAATAAATGATGAGATGACAATCCAAATGTCTCCGTACCTTAATTTGACTAAACTGTTCCATAAAAATATATGATCCATGCCAATAGCAACAATTGCCAGAAGCACATCTTAAGGTACAGAGAAAGGGAAAGCAATCAACATTTAGCTTTAGTCATAGAACAATGATGAGTTACGTTTTGTTGATGGGAAGAGGGAACTGTGGATATTCTTAGACAATCGAAGTAGTGAGTGTCTGCAGCCCAGTTGGATGATAGAGATACCCTGTAAATCCTGCTAAGGGAAGGTCAGGAACAACCCAACAATCTATCCTCTACTTAACAGGGGATCTGTGATTTCCCATATCAATTCTGGCAGTTGTGTTATGAATAACTATTTTGTGAAAGTGATTGCAAAATACTTCTAAAATCCCAACTATGGCACAGCCTTCCAAAAATTCTCTACTCTATAGCAGGGTAGAGTATTTGATTTGCTATTCGCTTTGAAGTCTGTCCTGGAAAGAAAAGTAGTCAAAGACCTGTGTGAGTTTATTGAGGATGCAGAGTCAGTGTACAGGGAGGGCAGGGAGAGAAACTTCAGGCCAAGATGAAGGCAGAGGTTGGCTGACACTAACCCCAGACTCAACCAGGTAGGATCTTGCTTACAGCGAGAAGTTGAACTATGGACTCTCTGGGAGGAAGTGCTTTGACTTATCTCCTGGGACCAAACAATTTGCATTCCACGAGATGCCATTGAAGTTACATCATGATGAAGAAAGTAAGAGTGCATTTAACCCTGGTGAAAGCAGAGGCCTGCCTTGCTGAAATCTGTGCCATTTCTCTCCCTTGCCTGGATGATGGATTTGGTCCCATGTCTTCAAAAGTGGCCAGTATTCAACTTTTCCCTAGCTCTGTCCCTCTGCCAGGTGGTGATTCAGAACAAACATAGAGCCAAACCCACTCTCCTCCCCCACTCCCCGCCACCCGAGGAAGTGGGCCGAGTCTTATTCCATTGAGGTTTCAGTGCTGATACAGACAATTCCAAACGGCACACACAGGAAATAGTCCTGGCTCCAAACTGTTCACCAGATAGCTGAAATTATTTGTCTTGTTCCAGGACTTTAGCCCTGCAGAGGAAGCAAGATAGCAGGAGGAGGAGAGCTTTCACTCTGATAGAAAAACAGACAGCCCCACATCCTGGTTCCAAATGATGACAGGCAAAGTAGATCCTTGCACATGCACACCCTGCCTCCTCAACATTTCATCTCTAGGACAGGAGTATATATGGCCAAGATTAAAAAAAAAAAATCCAGTGGCTCCTGTCCACATGACGCCATGTGGCAGGTTTCCCAGAGCACTACATCTTTGTTTCTTGTCAAAAGCAGCGGAGAGAACGCTGTGTTTTGGGGCTTGGGGGAGTAATCTGCGTGTGGGCAAGGAGTTGAGGAATTAAAGACTCCCTCTAACCCTCTCCTGGAGGTCTGCTTTTTGGGCTTAATGTGAAGTCAACTTCTGTGGAAAAATACCAAAGCCTCTAGAGAGGAGACAGAGGGAGAAAAGGAAGCACAAGCAACTAGGATATGGAAAGAAGCACTTGGGACTGACAAAGATTAAAATAACCCTATTTCAATCTAAGCTTGACTCTATGAATTGGCATTCAATCCATCCCAGGGGTCTCAATGAATTATTTCTACTGGGAGTTGATTTTCTTGGACTTTTTAATAGCTTTTGATAACATAGATCAAGAGGGGACAACCTAGAGGGCTCAGAGTCTCCTCTGATATATCACTAAATTTTAGTTTCCTGCCATATTTGAGGTGAGGAAGATACAAGAATTGCAATAGAGATCAAAGTATGTGCAATGTAGGGTTTTTTAAAAAAATGTGTTAATATATCTATTCTGAGTAGTCATGGAAAAAGTGGGGAAATCGCAATGCCAAATATGTCATCTGTTGTCCAAGGGTTTCCATACTACACCAACAAAATTTGGTGGCAAAACTACTGAATAAGGGGCTTTTGATTTTAAATTTATTTGCTTGTTTAATTATTTATTTATGAAGAAATAAGAAAATTGACATATAAATCTTTAAGTGATTGAACGAAGCTATTTTAATTGTAAAAACCAAATTACTAATTTCCTAGATGGTTTAGGTGAGAACCTGTTTGAAAACAATGTGTTTTTAAAAGAACTTTTTGGCTTTTGATGGGCCAGTTTTACCTGGTTATCCTTTACAGGGACTTTAAATACTTGTTCTTTATTCAGTTTAAGATGGTTCCTTATCCTGAATATATGGGACCAAATTATTAATAAGCTTAATGGATGAATTATTAAAATATGGCTATTTGAAGGTAACCAACATATTGGTTTCTTTTGCTCTTAAATGTTTTAATATGTTTAAGGAACAGTATCTGAGTAGAAAGTACTTCCAAGGAGTAAAGTAATAGGTTAACTCTGTCTCGGTTTTTCTAGATATAAAAAGTCATGTCAAACTGTGAGATGGCCTGTATATAAATTTAATAAATGAATAAATGAAATGCTTTCCATTCTGGTTGGATTATAATCTCCCTCCTCAATGCCATTCCAGCTCATTTGTCATTTTCTTTCAGATGAGCTGCCGCTATGCCCCAAAGAAGTAACTTCCAACATGTTCCGCTTCAATGTGTCTTCAGCAGAGACAAACATCACCAACCTCTTCCGGGCAGAGTTTCGGGTCCTTCGCTTGCCAAACCTCAGCTCCAGACGTTCTGAGCAGCGTATTGAACTCTTTCAGGTAATCCTGCTTCCTAGCAGGGCCTCCAGGGTACTTCAAGGGACGATCTGCTATTTCTATTGGACATTTTTGCTTTCTTTTCAATACCTCCCATCACCACCAGATGCCCTGATCCATGACTACTAACCTGGTATCTTGAGTTTTTCTCAGGGATGTGATGAAGGGAGAATGAGGAAGGCTATGGCTGTGTTAGCATTATGGAATTATTTCATCATTTTATAGACAAGGCATGTTATATACTTGGATCCCTATGCCAAATAAATCAATAAGTTATCTATTACCCAGCAGTGTAGATCTAGAGGGTGACTTCTTTTGTCCTTTGTTGCTAAAAGGCACATCTTCACATCCTCCTACATTTATCTTGAGAATGCCTGGCTAACCATGTTGAAAGATCATACACATAATTCAGCCTTCTCAACCCTATAGTCCATAGCCCAAACCAGCTGAACTGAACTTGAATGTGGGTTTTCCACCTTCCCCAGGAAACCAGGCCGTTTGCACTGTGCTTAGTACTTTGGCTCGTACTAAGTTAATGATGAAAAGCCAAGGGATCATTCCACCAACTATTGGCCATTTGGGGCTGGTATGGGTATGTCCCCTCCCTTCTGTTCTTCACTGTACATTGTGTCAGCCAGCTTCCGGGGCTGCCAATATATTGCACAGGGATTCCTCACTGTTCAGCAAGCCAGCACAGCTGCTGACTGCTTCTGCCAGGAGAAGACAGAAACGTTTCAAATCCCATCACCCCCTATCCCCATCTGCTGATAGGATCCTCCATTATCACCACATGCAGCTATCTAGTGTGGATGCCAATGTACTATGTGGGGGAATCTCAGAGATAGCCCTGTGATATGTTGATGGATAACTGGCTGGTGTGAATGGGTTCTCCCCTTCCAGGCAATGCCCCCCCTGCAGTTTTCATTGTGCATCTGGAAAGCAAGAATATTATTGGATGGGGAGGTACATGGGGTAGGGGTTTCTGGTAAATCAGGAAAAGAGAGCGCCTTTTTCCCTTCTGAAAATTTCCCTTCCCCAAAATCAGATTCTAAACAAAGCTAACCCTATCACTCTACTTGTCTGCCACAACTTGCCTCCCCCACTTCACATCAAGAACAGCAACCGATGCAAACTAACCAATTCTAATATTCACAGCAAAGACTGTGGTTCCTTTAATAGACACCATGTGCTTTCCTTGGATATTCCAAGGGCTTAATACACATGTATTGCATTCATACTTCAGAATAAGATTACAGAAAATGTGGGAGCAGAGGGGATGAACATTAGGAACCCTAGAATGAAAAAAACAACAATTAAAAATCATAATTATAAGCTTAAGAAAGGTTTGACATAAACCTAAGTGCTGGTAACCTGAAATAATTTTCTTTACTTTTTATTGTAATATTATAAATCTTGATCTTGTATAATCCTATATAATTTCAATGTAGTTTTTGATGTAGTAATATTTATATAATATATATCAAAATTATTAACATTGCTTATTTTAAAAGTTTAAAGTAATAAAATGATTCTATCAGTATTAGTTACCATTTAGTATGTCAGAGTTACAGAATATTATATAAGATTTAAAAAAAGAATCACTGCAATTCACATCAAAGTATTAGTTATACTTTGTATAACAAATAGTTATACTATTAGTTATTAGTTATAGGATTGCTTCAGTTTTAAACTAATTATTTAAAATTAAGTTCTCCATTGTATTGTTAGTTTATATATGTGTACATAGTATGTACATTTCCCTTCAGATTATGACCACTCATCCAGTGGCTGTTCAAACTTGCAACGGCACTGGAGAAGAAGGATTTATAATGAGTCCTTGGAGTTCTGTCCATTGCAGTGAGTTACAGTTATGTGATCTCAATTTCTGACATTCTCTGCTGGCTCCCTATAAGCACTCAATGGGAAAGCTGGCAGAAAGTTGGAAGATGAATTCAAGTGAGACCCTTGCTTCTTGGTCCTTGCTTAACACAGCAACTGATATTTATATGTTAATAAAAGGAGATAAAAATAGATAAAGCAAATTGATCAAAAAATTAAAACACTTAAAAGTTAAAATACCTAAAAAGTAGAAAAACGATTGGATGAAGAAGCTTCTTAGGATGAGAAGCAAAACATTTTCAAGGAAAACCCCCCAAAAGTCCAGCTGACTTTTGAAAAACACCTTTGGGACAATTAGATAAAATATTGAAAATATTTATTAAACAGCATTTTTAAAAGTACCTAACAATTGTTTATCTGGAGGATTTGCTCTTGGTGTGGTAACTTTAAACCAAACCAAGGGGATAGCGGTGAATCTTCTATGGGGAGCGGCCCAGAGGCAGATCACTCTGTGAATGAGAAACATATAGAGCAGGTGTGGAATAAAAGAAGCAGACTGTCAGGGGTGGTTATTGGGTAAAGAAGCCATCTTTCATTGCATTATCAAATACCACTCCATCTTTCCCTTGCAAACTGAAGACAGGCTCGGTGTCAGCCTGTAGAGCCACCTGCTTTTCAGGAACATAGGGGACAGACAGGGCATGCAGCAACAAGAGTGCAGTGGAGAACATTCGAGCCATGACCTTGTCTATCTCTTGATCACTGATTGTTTTCTAGTTGGATAACTCCCCTGGCATAGGTCTTTTGGTGATTATAATCCAGCAACAAAAAACAAATACTTTGCATAAGGGCACTGAGAAAGCTCTTCATTTAAATCAAGGAAATCCATTTGATTCAGTATAGCATAATGCAATCCTTATGCCTATTTGAATGATTACATGCCATCAAGTTGTTGTTGACTCTTAGCGAATGATCTGCCCCCATCCTTCTCCTTTGGGTCTTCCAAGGAGGCACTCATTGCCACTATAACTGAGTCCACCACTTTATTGCTGGTCATCTTCTTCTCTTTGCTTCCACCTTTCCCAGAATTACAGCCTTTTCCAGAAAGCTAGATATTTATATAATGTGCCCAAAGTAGGAAAAATTAAGACTAGTCATGTATCCTTGAGTGAGAACTTTGGGTTCATTTGTTTGATTATCTCTTTCCTTGCTTTCTTGGTTATCCATGGCATTCTCGGTGCTTTCTACCGCTACAGTCCAATAGCATCAATATTCTTCTTATCCTGTTTTTTCAAAGTCCAACTTTCTCTTCCACAGAGTGTTACTAGACAATACATGGGTTGCATGTTTATGCTCTTTGCAGGTACAGAGATGTAATGGCACTTGAATATCTTTTTAAAAACCTTCTTGGCTGCTTTATCAAATCCTAGCCTGTTGTGTATTTCTTGATTGCTTGTTTCTGATGTTCGATCTTAAAATACAGAAGCTATTCATTTTACAATGTCTTCATTGTAAAGTATGCCTATATACCTGGGAGAAAGGCCTCTACTGGTCAAAGATCCCCCCTTACAAATATGACTCCCTTTTATGATTCCCTCTTAAATGTCATCCAGAAAGTCTGATTGTTTTCCCAAGCCTGGAGACAAGATGATCATGGAGTCCAATTTTGATTGATTTTGAATTAAACATCTCTTAGAGTCATTTAGGATTTGGGCAGCCTTCGAAACAAACAAATAGATACAAGCAAATTGACATACCCCTAAGTAGAAGTGAAAGTTCACACTATATCCAATATTCAGATTCAGTGCAGATTGAGAAGTAGAAAATATTAAATGGGAGTGCTGTATCATATATCATTTCTGAGCATTCTGCTTATTCACAGCACCCTTATTGAATGGAAGATGTGTATTTGAAAGCTAAATGCCCTACTAATAATTTTGGGAAGTATTAATCCTTTGAACCATAGCTTTTGTCTATACCCCCTTTTAATTCATGAACAATGCTGACACAGAGCTGCTTCCAAGAAGATATAAAACAGTTTTGGTATCTAGGCTAGTATTGTTTCAAAAATTCATAGTAATGGTAGCTTATGAGAAGCTAAGCCCTTCATGTGGAGGCATAAGCATCTCTCACAGTCAGGAGAATTAGGATATGGTTCTGACAAGTAGTTTTTTAGCAAAACCATTGGCCAAATTATTGTGCAATGCAGCTTCAGTCTGTAACTTCATCGCCTTCCCCTTGTATTTTATCATCCCAGGTCAGTTTTTATGTGCATGCTTTCCTGTCATACTCAATTCTTCCTTTGGGAGTCATGGCTAGAATTTGCTCCGATGAATCATATTAGAGTTTTTACATATTACAGAAAACCAGAGAGAGAAAAATGTAACTCAAGCATTCTTACCCAGAAGAGTTGGTTTTACCAAAGGAAACCCAGGAACTGTCCTTTGTGAACTACTAAAGAACGCCTTGTGTTAAATGTATGTTTTGAAATGGAAGCAGTATGCTCCATCCCATAATTGGGTAGACCAGATTGCCCTGATAGACCAGTCCCACTGGAGAAAAAACAATGCCTTGTGTCATCTGCTTCTGTAGATCCTGAAACCTGATGAGCATATTGCAAAGCAGCGGTACCTAAGTGGCCGAAATGTACTGACAAGGGGCTCTTCTGAATGGCTGTCCTTCGATGTCACAGAGACTGTCCGTGAATGGCTTTTTCATAGAGGTGAGTGCACCTAAAGTAAGTTAGTTTCCTCTCTTGTTAGCAGGTTGCATGTGTTTGCTTAGACAGAGACATATAGGAAGCCAGCCTTTCCCCACTTAATAGGCTCCATAGGTATTGGACCACAGTTTCTATCATGGTCAATAAGAGTTAAGTCCAAAACACGAGGAAATTACAGATTGAAGAAGTCTGGTGTGAATTGATTCTAGTACTATTTTTATATGATTTTTTTTCTCATATAATTAGCAACGAGAGGCACATCATAGCATGATTTACAAATTAGTTTCTTGGTTGCTGAGGTTCACAGGAACATTAGCATCTGGGCAGCAGCATAATTGAGATATAGGCAAATGATTTTAGCAGAATAATGATCATGTGCCTGGATTGTTGGTATGACCAAATTCAGGAGATACTTTCTCCTAACCTGTGGTGGTGGTGATAATGCTGAGAGCTACAAATTGACGGAGCCCTACCCTGGAACCTTATAGCTTAATGCAGCACAGCAGTTGCTACAGAGATTAGCACTCAGCAGAGAATAATAGAACAAAACACAGGCTGTGAGATTCAGCAGCTGCAGCTAGCTTGAAAAACTGGCCAGGTGGTAAAATTCAGGCTTGAACCTCAGACAATGCTTTTGGCCACAGACATCAGTCTCTGACTATGAGGGATATGCTTGTTACTCTCACGTTTCCCATCTCCAATAATTCTGCCAAGAATGTTCAGATTCCATGACAGTTAAATGCAAAGCAATGTCCAAATATTTTATGTAAACTTGGAATATTCCTTTCCCATATAAATTATAATTGTAGTACAGAAGGTCTTTTCTTGCTGGATTTTCGGTTTAGACCTCCAACAGGAAAATTACTTAGTTGTTTCATTTATCAAATGTATTTGGGAAAAGGTATTGTATAAAAATACAACAGCCAGACCTCTTTCTATTTATTTGGAAGAAAGATGTAGTGATTCCTGTGGCATTGCTCCATCCAAACAATTAAGGTTTAGAAATCTTGAAACTGGGTGTCACTGATCTCTAGACTTTTTATCCACATCATTCAAACAAATTCTCTTTTTTAACCAACAGCCCTAAAATAAAATAATGAGGACTTGCTAATTTCCTTGAGGAACTCAGAACTATGTTAAGGTTCAAACTATTATGGCAAAACTCATTAAGATTCCTGTCAAAAGTTGATAGGTCAGTCCATCCTGCTCCCAAATATCCTCATAGTACATTGTATATAACTTATTTTTGTTGAAGACTGAGATAATTTTCGATTAACAATCCAGAACAAGACAGAAAACTCAATATGGAGCTACTACTAGACAGAATCTGGTATGCTTTGCACGTATATAGTTCAGTTTCTCCTTCCAGTCTTTTGTAATCCTGACAGAACCTCAGTTCAGGATCTCCACTTTTAACAGATTCAATTAATGGAAGAAAACAAATGGAAATTGCTGAATCATCATTTGCTTTCAGGAATATTGGTTAGTAAGGATTGCTTTTAAATTCTTCATTTTCTTGCAGAATCTAATCTAGGACTGGAGATTAGTGTCCATTGCCCATGTAACACCTTTCAATCCAATGGCGACATTCTGGAGAATCTGCATGAGGTGCTGGAGGTCAAATTCAGAGGTGACAGAAATGAAACTGGAGGGGATAGTAGAATAAGTCACCTAAATTTGAGTATTGTTATTGCATTCATGTCCTAATCGTATTACATTACATAGCAGTGTATGTGCTTTTCTATGAGTAATTGTCAGATATTCGTTTATTTATTTACATTAGGAATACATAACGAGTGTGGGCACTTGTACACTTACAGATTGCCTTAACAGCAATCCTCTTTTCAGGGAACTCTAAGCCGTGTGCTTAAAACTGGCATCTCTTCGTAGAATTCTCAATGTTTTCACAAAACCTTTGGGAAACCTATAATGGTTAAACTGGCATAAAATTGCTAAGTGTTATAGACATAACCTGTGTTGCTGGGTTATAAATGCAACTTTATAAATCAGTGCACATCCAGCCTTTCAAAAACTCATCTCTGCTGTGCTGCTGCAATGTGTGGGCACAGAGATTAGGATTGGTTTGTGGTATCATAGGAAGCCAGCCTGAGATCTTTTAATCTCAGTATTAGCAAGTGCTTGACTTTTGGGTTTTGCACTGTGGGCCACAGTATTCAGGAATTTTGCATCTCAGACATTTTTCCCTGTTGTTCAGCTCCAGTTATCAGACGTCATCCATCTTAAGTAATTTATCTCTTTTGTCCTGCTCAGGAACTGATCGCAATATCAAGAGATAGATTAAAATGATCTCCATCATCAGTCTGCACGTTATAAAACAAATGACCCTCAGGATTTTCTGTCAGGTTTATTTATTCTGGTAAAGCCACAATCCTTACAAAAGATAGATTTATGGAGACCAAGATTTCCTAATACAGTTCTAAAGCAACTATGAGATTTGATGTTTCCCTTTCCTGCATGCTTCTCAGGGATAGATGGTGAAGAGAGTCACGGCCGTGGGGACTTGGGAAGCCTGAAGAAGCAAAAAGATCTGCAAACCCCCCACCTGATCCTGATGATGCTGCCTCCACATCGTCTTGGAAGTTCAACTGTGAGAAGCCAGAGAAAGAAACGAGCATTGGACACCAATTATTGCTTTCGGTAAGATAAGATTTGTGAACCGCCTATACCTTCCCCTGGAAATTAACCATCTCTCTGCCAAAAAATGCTCTTGAAAGCTACATTGGGATGACTTTGCATAATTTTGAAACGTAAAGTTAAGTTGCAACTGATTAACCCCACTGGTTAAGTACTGTCTCTAACAACTATAATTCCTTCCCAGCTCTAAATCCCAGCTTTTGATTAATCCTCACTTTAATATGAAATTAGTATCCAAAATATATTCTCTGGCCGAGAGAAGAAATATTCCACATTGTGTAGGAAGAGCCAAGTCATCCCTTTAGAAAAAGGAAAGGCAAATTCTCTCTTTCTTTTGCATGTTTGTTCGTTTGGTTCACTGCTATGGAAAAACAAAACAATTAAAAATAATATTTGGAGGAAAAAAAAACACCTACCATTAGGATCCAGCCTCATCTTATCTCAATGCCTGGAGGAAAAGTCATCTTTTAAAGATCTTCTGGAAGTTCAAATGGGTGGGGCCTGCCAGATCTCAGGGAGAGGGTATTCCACCGGCTGGGGTCCTCTGTTGAGAAGGCCTGCTTCCTGGGTCCTGTTAGAAGACAACATTTGAGTGAAGGGACCTGGAAAATGCCCACCTTATCCAGCCTGGTGCAGCAGGTAGATATCCAGGGATGGGATTCTACCAGTTCGCACCTATTTGCTAGAACCGGTTGTTAACATTCTAAGCAGTTCAGAGAATCAGTTGTTAGAAGAAATTACTGGCCTAATCCTGTAAGGAAGGCAGGAAGGAAATATTCTGGTGTTGCTTACAGAAACTGCCTCTCTGTTAACCCTTATTACATTCTTGGCAGGACTAGACTTCCTGTCTCAGGAACGTCTCTGAAGTTTTTTTCCCCTCCTTTGCTGGTACTTTGCTTATGTGGAGTGACCATTCAGTTACAATGGCACTGAAAAAAGTGACTAATGATAGTTTTTCACACTTACAACTATTGCAGCATCCCCACAGCCATGAGAGGCCAGGCAAGGAGATGCATGCCTCAATGTGAGTGATATTGAGTTGGTCACTCCCAGCCAATAACATGACCACCAAGCCATGTCCATCCAGTCACATGACCACCAAGCCACGCCCACCAACTAAGCCACGCCATTCGGTTCTAGCGAATAGGTGCGAACTGGTAGAATCCCACCCCTGAATGGGACCAAAACTGATTTATACAAAAGCTCCCCAAACCCACCCATGGCTGTCACCTTCCTCAAGCAGGAGTTGCAAATCCAGGAGGCCATCCCAAATTGCATATCTGCTCTATCTGGGGGAGTGCTAGCCCATCGAGAGTTGAAGGTGACATCCTTCCAAAACCAGAGGAAGCAAAAACTCCAAGCTACTCCATCTTGCTATAGATACAAGGCAGGTGCCACTAGCACTTGGAGTAGCATACTTCTTTGTAGCCCATACCGGATACTCACCCTCTGGATTGCAATCATACTAACATATTAGATGCTTTCCCCCATGGGAAATCATGGAGACATTGACAGAAAGGAGAAAAATACTCCTTTTAAATGATGCATTCCCAGTGATACCAGGAACCAAACAGGTTCAGTAAGACTCAGAATAAGCTGAACATTTTTGTGTGAGTTCTTTCACATAATTGGTGAGCTGCATTTAGCTTGATAGATGCAGGACGGCTTCACTGAAGTCTCAGGATTGTTGTTAGAGCAGGTGTCCAAAGTATCAAGCCAGGGAAACAGATGAGCTGCATGGATTAAAGCAGTGGTTCCCAAACTTTTTCAGTTCACCGCCCCCTTGGTGCTACAAACTCATCCTTAATGCCCCCCACCCAGGGGCAGGATTCAAATTTCTGTGGGCCTGGCCTAATTTGAGGGAGTGGTTTGCTGGTCACGTGACTGGGTGGGTGTGGCTTGCTGGTCACATGACTGAGTGGGCGTGGCTTGCTGGTCACGTGACTGGGTGGGCATGGTTTGGTGACTGGCAAACCAAATACAAGTGGTCCTCACTTAATGGCCGGTTGCTTAGCAAGTGTTCTAATTTATGACTGGCCTTCCCAGAACTACCTGACCTGTTTTTGGAGTTTTGACAGCCATGCACACACATATACACATACTCCCTTCCAACCCTGCTAGAGCAGGTCATTGGACTAGATTGCTCTCCTTTCCCAATGCTGCATTCGGGGTGAGGCCTCACTGCCCCGAACACGGCGGCGTGCGGGGGATGTTTTAAAAGGAGAGCGAAGCCACTCTGGCTTTTTGCTCACTCTGGCTTTGCTCTCCTTTTCCTTTGGGGAGAGGCCCCGCCGCCCTGAACACGGCAGCGGCGGGGGCTGTTTGAAAAGTAGAGTAAAGCTACTCTGGCTTTGCTCTCCTTTCCCAGCGCTGCGTTCAGGGCGAGGCCCCCAGGATCACCCCATTGAGCTCCTTGCACTAGTGTGCAAGTCATTGGGTTGATCCTGCGGGATCTTGCCTCGAACAGGGCGGGAGCGGGATTTTTTTCTCACCCCTGAATTGTGCCCTGCCGCTCACCTCCAGTGCCCCCTGCCGGCCCCCTTGCCTCTCAGCGCCCCCCTAAGGCATCCCACCGCTGCCCAGGGGGCGGTACCGCCCACTTTGGGAACTACCGGATTAAAGGATTATCTGTAGACTAAACTCTTTTTATCCTCTACTTTTTCCTAAACTGTGTCTTTTAGAATGTAATATGAAGAGGGTTAACATACAAGTGGAGCTGAGAAACTTTTTTTGTCCATTGTTCTTAATTCCCTTATTCTGCTGAGCAGCATTCTGGGATTGTGTATTTATTTACTCATCATAGCACAAACTATAAGGGTATCACAGTGGATTGACAACAATTCTAGCTTGGAAAACCTGCTGTTCAGCTAAGAAGAGTAATATGTCCCTGAATCTTCTGTTACTTATATAGGGCAGCCCCAAGATTTGTTTTCTCCACAAAGCCAAACTAATCACTATGGCTGCTTTGAAATATTTATAGCTGCTTCCTGGGTCTCCCCCACCCCACCCCTCCCACCCCCATTAAAAGAAACAGCCCTCTCATTTCAGGCTGATTTTCATCCTCTTCTTCATCTGCTTGAAGTTTCATCATTAAAAAATGGAGAGGAAGAGGGCCCAGTAGATTTGCTACTATTTTCTTCTTGTAATTTTGCTCAATTTAAAAAAAAAAAACAACTTCAAGACTTAACCAGGCACTGCCACCGTTTTTTCCTGGATTATCTTCTTGTGCATACATGTAAGTTCCAAGATGGTGGTTACCAAGCTCTCTGTTGTGAGTGAGTGAGTGAGTGAGTCAGAGTTGTATAAATGCCCAGAAAGAACATGTATGTAATTTGGAGGTCCTAATGGATTTTTAGCTCCTGCTTAAAGACCAGGCAGCAGATGTGGCCAGGAGAGCCTATCTTTGTACAGTATTTGCATTTTTTGTTTTGATGTTTTTGGTCTTTTGCTTTAAAGAAATGTTGAATTGATACTTTATTGAATTTGAATAATTGATTTGAGTGTATTTCATATCATCTCCCTTTTGTTCTAGGAATCTGGAGGAGAACTGCTGTGTACGTCGTCTCTACATTGATTTTCGTCAAGATCTGGGCTGGAAATGGGTGCATGAGCCAAAGGGGTACTTTGCTAACTTTTGCTCTGGGCCATGCCCTTACCTTCGTAGTGCAGATACCACACACAGCACGGTAATCAATGTTTTAATCTGAGCAAAGAACTTGCAAGTTAGAGCATCTTCTTTATCTCTGCAATTCCATCTCATGAATAGTTTATGTTTTATGAGTTTTTGTCATTTATTGAGGGTGCAGTCTTGCGCCCAGTTTCCTAGATTCTTATTAAACTTAGTGGAGCTTGAGTTAAATATGGGCAGAAAGACATAATTTGTAGACAACGTTCTTGGAGCACATAGAAACCCCACCTCCTTTTAAAAAGTTTTTAAAAGTTAAAAGTTGAGTGTTTAAAAGTTAAACAAGAAGCTGGTGGCATCCTGAAAAGGAAAACATTGGTGTCTAGCATAATTTTTATTTACAAGAGCAGTTCTGAATACTACATAAGATCTACAAATCAGTTTTCCCCAGCCTTCACACCCTCGGCTTGTGTGGAGTACAATCCCTGGTCCATCAGCCATGGCTATGCTGGTTGAAGAATGATGAGAATTAAAGTCTAACATCAGAAAAGTACCGGTTTGAAGAAGACTGCTATCATCATTCACAGAAAATAAAAATGGGGAAGAAAGCGCCTTCCTTGGTAGTCTGCTTAAGTGCCCAGAAAAAAAGCAAAGAAAACCTGAGGCACTTCCCCTCTGCCATACCTTTTCGTCTTCATCTTTGGGTGAATTGGTGTTTTGGGGCTGACTACATCTACCATGACTGTTTTGTGAGTAAACAAGCCTCTTTCCCATGGCAAGCATTTTGCAAAACAATCCACAACATGGTCTCAAAATTCTGCACATGTCTCCACTTGACTCCCCAAATAAACACACTGGAAAGTTTCTTTTGCTCACAGAATGATTTCCCAGTTTTAACTATGAATGCTGCTAAACACGGGCAAGTATGTGTAAAGACACACTTCAAAATCCCTGGTTGCTGAAAGAGGCAGTCATTTTGCTATGTCTGACTTTTCTTTACGGGAAATAAAACAGTTTGCTTCGACAGGGGAATATTTTAGATTTGGAAAATGGCATAGAGAGTATAACATTTCCTGTCTCCAAATGCTGTGGCCTCCCTCCCTCCAGTGCCACTTGGTGTCTGGCTTTTACTTTTTTTAAAAAAAAATGTGTGTGAAATCCTTGTCATGGCTTTTCCAAGACTGTGTAAAGAGAGACATTATTCAAAATGGAATTAAGATGTAGAATGAAGTTTGGGTCAAAGGAAACAGCATATCAAAACCTGAAATGTTTTATGTGTTTTTAATTAGTTCTACACAAAGGAATGGAGTAAAAATAGCTTTCCCTCTCAGATCAGCCTTATTCAGGAGGCATTCATTGCCCACTGAAATTTAGTTGCAGGTACACCTGATGATCCCCCTCCCTCTCCCCAGTCCATGGTTAGTTGTCTGACAGCTCTGGTGTGTGTGGGCCTAATGTGATGACAATTGCATTGGAAGAACCTAGAGAAGGAATTCCTAAATAAGCTCACTCGTCATTCCCTCTTTACTTTTTTCCAACTGAAAATACTCATGCTCCAGCAGAAAAGGAAATCACGGAGAGATAGTTTGTAGCTATATCACCGGGCACATTTTGTTTAATCCATATCTGGTGATGACTGGTATACAATTACATTCATTATTTTGCTCCTGGAGATTGACTATATCTCCTTAGGCGCAGTATTTCTCTTTTTTCCCCCTCTTTAAGTCAGATTTTAGTGCGGTGTGAAGTGACTTACTATTAAGAAGCATTCTGCTCCAGAATTTCTGATGAGCAAAAATCAAATCTAGCCCTGAGTTCTACACCTTGTTTGCTTTCTACCCATTTTCTGGGCCTCAGGCCAATAAAAATATTCTTTTCTATAAAATAAATGTAATAAGGCTTCACTGAAAAAGACACACACACCCCCGCAATAGTTATGGAGGTCAATAGTTAAACCATTGAGGTTGGTAATGCCTGTTGTAAGTATTTACATGGCAAAGTACAGTAATAGCGATTAACTTTAGCTGTAGACAATTTCCATGACGGAAGACAACTGTCAACATGGATAGGAAACACTCAATGAAGCACTGTAGCAATTGTTCAGAGTGTTGCCTATTCTGCAATTATTGTGAACGTAGAGGAACTGATTGAATATTTCTTAGCAGTGCAGGATTTTAAACAGTGCTATCTGTTTACCATTTGGTTGTGCATATTTTAAAATCTGCATTCATGACTCAGTTTAGAAATTATACTAAATCAGTTTTTAACTTCATATGCTACAATTGACAATGTTCACAGAAAATGATAAATCATAAAACATACAATCCTGTGGCTGGATTCATAAAAACACACTAAGAATCAAACATATTATGGTTTAGTTATGTTGTGAAAACTCAATGTCAACTCAGTGTCTCTTGTTAAATGGGGTCTAGTAAGGAGCCATGCTTCTTCTACATGGCAGTTCTAGTAGTAAGCAGTTGGTCTCAACCTAGAAAATTTGGCACTTACAAACTGTATCTTCATTAATTATTTTCTGGATAAAATATTTTGAGAGGAGGAATTGATAGTATAATTTAAAATGGGTCATGAAGAAGGCCAATAGGAGTACACTTGCCGTATTTGGACATATTACACATCTTGAGCTTAAAAAATAGACAAATACTAGTTTTCCTCAGTTGTCTTCTGATCTTCTCTATAGCAATATGTAGAATGGAGCAAAGCAAGTATCTTGGATTTGTAGAGAACTGAAACAGTTGGGAGGTGAATGTTGATACTTGAGAAGGACTGGATTAAATCCAGTATGATTTCAAAAAGCTGGCCAAAGTAAGTTGATTTTTTTCAGCTGTTTTTCTTGAAACTCTTAGCAAGACTGTAAGACGGTTACACCCAGTTTACTTATTTATTTTTAAAGAGAAGAATTTGCTAAAGAACTACATTTGCTAAGACAAAGGTTTGGGTGCTACACGACTTACTTAGTTGCTCTAGATGAAAAATCATTTGATCAGTAAATTGTCCAGTGGTTGAGCTGAGGTAGAAGCTGTAAATACTGAATTTTTGAAATATGCTTCCTGCCTAACATTAATTCTAGCAACTGGCAAGTGCTAGCTAAGATCCTCATATATTTCTTGGTTGTTTTTCCAGGTCCTTGGTTTATACAATACTCTGAATCCCGAAGCATCTGCTTCCCCCTGTTGTGTTCCCCAGGATCTGGATCCCCTGACTATCTTGTATTACGTTGGAAGGACCCCAAAGGTGGAACAGCTGTCTAACATGGTTGTGAAATCTTGCAAATGCAGCTGAAAAGGACCCAATGCAATTCCCAGCTCAGAAACTGCAACCACTATCTTTGATCTCAGAGTAAAACTCAATCCTAAATCCATTTCTCCCTTCCTGACTTTATCACCTTGTTCCTTATGAAGACTGTTTTTTCTCTGTGTATGGATATTTGAGGAAATGGACACCATACAAGCTAGATTTTTAACAGATAAAGGCCACCAAACAAGGGATTTTCCCAAGGAGGAAATCATGAGCAGAGCCGGAGCATATAGGAAAACTAGACTTTTTTGCCCATCAATAACTGTTTCATCGAGCTCAACTTTGTTCACAAGAGGAGGATGGCTGGTTTCCTTTTAACTGGACATATTTTATTAGCACCCATACCATAATGGAAGTCATTATTCTGCAGACAGTGAGTACTACATGGTCCAAATATGAAACTTTCTCACAAACTCTTCTCCGTTTTCTTTCTCCTCCTGGAACACTTGCTGGAGGGCTTCTGTCACAGAGGTGGGCTTTGCCCCTATATCCCAACCCTGTTCTTTGGTAATCTTCCAAGAATCTTGAGGCTGTTGTGGTGGTTGAGATCTTTAAAAAATCTGCCCATCTTGTACAAGGACTTAGCCTAGGCCACACCTGCCAAAATTTTATACAAAGTGTTAATCTCAATATTGTAAAAAAAATAAATATTTTTCTTTTGGATATTAGAATTTTATGTTCAAGAAAGTTGTTTCCGTATGGAAAGGAAGAGATACTTCTACAGCTGTGGAAGAACCCACAAAGGTCAGACTAGAGCACTTACTGCAGCAAGAAATCACATTTTCAGTGGCTGGGAGTCCTGAAGGAAATGACAATGCTGAAATGAGATTTGCACAAGCCAATGGGACCAATTTGGTTCAGTTGTTGTTTCACTCTTCATTTGGTGGTGGTAATGTTTTAATTTTCCTAATTTGTTTTTAAAGATGTGTTAAATCCATGACTGAATTTAAAGTACTTATATTATTTGGAACTAGCCCCACTTTTTAAAAAATGGAAAAATCATTCCATTGTTATTTGCCATTTATGTTCTCAAACTTGCGGATGTGCCAACTTTATTATTAGTTTTTCCAGAAAAGCCATGTAGATAACCTTGAGAGACATGTATGTAGCAGGATGAAGGAGTGAATTCAATTGTTATGAATAGATGTTAACATGAGTATCACAGTGAAAAGGGTAGCTCTCTGGTCTCCAAAGGCCCTAACAACTGAAAAGAGCCCACACTTTTAAAGCAACAGTTGTTTCAGTTGCTTCAACAATGGATTCAGGCATATCCAAAAAGCGCTACTTTTGTCAACCTGACTGCTGACACATTCTCCCTATTGCATACATGTCAGTTTCACATATTTAGACATTGGGGGGATAATTTTTAAATAATTAACTACAAGGATAGTAGACAAGGTGAATGAGGAAACAGGTATAGGGTGGTAAGGCACTTATTCTCTTTGCCCATCACTGTGGGCATGTTCTAACTCTCCTGTAGCATTCTCCCTCCCCCCATTTTGGGGTTCTAATTATATTGGAACTCTGCATCTTTACTTTGAAAGGTGTTTTGTTTAGATTGCTACTGAAAGAATGGTGTTGGAAGATCTGAAGGACCAGGTTAGAGACAACTGTGTTACAGAGAAAATCTTTGTGGAATGCTAAGAGTCACACCAATTAGATAACACATAATCAATCAATGAAAGCATAACAGATATTCCTTAAGGTGAGGAAGAACACATTTGGCTTCCAAACTACATTGAGGCCCTTATGCAGGGAAACAGAAAACCACTCTTTCAGCACTTTTTTTTTTTTTTGCTGCAATCAAGACAAGTGGGCTATTGGAGTTTGCCAGTTCAAATGTGATATTGAATTGCATAGTGCTCTTCTTTGTTTCTATTAAACCCTAGCTAGGCCTCTCTCTAGCACAACCTTATTATTGTTCATTTTCTATCATGCTGTTCTAATTGCTAATAAACATTTTTATGAAACATGAAAAATTCCAGATACAGCAGCTGCGGTGGTATCAATCTATCATATCAACTCTTTGGCTAAGAGCCTGTGGCAGGAAAACTCAAATTCAGATAAGAGGATACTTCCCACTCATTGCTTTAGCTTTTAGCCTTCTATTTTTTCTCTTAAGATCTCCTTGATATATAACAAGTTAAAAGTGAGGCAAGTAACTGTCCCAAGGACATACTTTACTGTGTTTTAACTTGTGGACAAGAGACATCTCTTGATTTCTGCAATAATCTATATAATTTTGAAGTGAAATATTTATAAATAAATCACAACATATAAATTTAATCATCTGGAATCTTTTTCTGCTCTACAATTGCTTTTGATGCTCCTTACAAATAAATACAGGTGGATGCAATTTCAGCAAGAGATATTATTCTTTTGAAAACTGAGCTAGATTTGGATTTCCAAATGCCATTTCTGCCTAGGATTAATTTCATTTCCTTGCTTAACTGTTAGCCTCTTATGTAACAGCACATTTGAATATCAACCCTGCAGTCTTCAAAAAAAGTTTTAGATTTAATTATAGAACTACCTTTACAATAAAGAACAAAACATCTCATTTATACCTTTTCCTATCATACCTTTCCCTTTCTGCAACACACAACATCTCCAGTACAGAATACCTCTAAAACATATATTAACAATTTTGATCACAGTAAAGAAAGAGGACAAGCTGAAGAAAATTGCTGAAAGATTGCCACACCCTACTGCCACACCCTACAAAAGATGCACTTTATTTTCCTCCTGTGGCATCTTATTTAATGCCTTCTAAGATAATGCAATAGAATGATATAATTACTGAGATGTGAAGAGATTCTACCTTATATTCTAGAATGCATTTTATAGATAAGACAAAGACTTAGTCTTATGCTGACAATTCTGAGCAGGTAAACATTTGAAACTGTTCTGATGTTCAGCTTCCATTATTCCTGTGTATGGACAGGAGTAGGACAAAATTAAAAACAATCTGAAACACTGAGATGATGTTTGGCATGAAATGTAGTACATATTCATAGAATTGCCTTAAAATCATGAAAGTTCAATTCTGGATCAGATGACAAGGATCACAGAGTCACAGCTACTTTAGGGCATATCAGGGGAATTTAAGGATTTTTCCTGGGTGGCATCTAACAAGCTGGTCTTGATTTTTAGATTTAGCAAGGATATATCAAGAAAATGATTTTTAGTCAAGAGTACTTGGAAAAACAAACACTAAAGGCAATGACCTTTTCATCTCAAATATCTTATTAGTATTTGTCTATAAACCCCCTTTCCCCTTTCAGTGCAAAGGTTCCAAATTCATTCAACTTCTTGGTTCTTATGAAATGTCAGTGTGACACATGTATTCAGTGTCACTCAAATAACACGAGAGTTTGAAATTCTGATTTTAAATTCCCTAGTTCATTTTTTCCTAGATGTGAGAGTACCTGGACCACAATGGGAATCGTTTTATTTAAAAGCCTTGAAGCAAAATCGGGGTGGGGTGGGGAATGGTATTCAGTAGGACTCAAACTCTTAAGAAGACATTTGCTATTTAACCAGCATTAAAGTTGAATTACTTAACTTGTCCACTAAACATGAAAAAAATCCATATATGTGGATCAAAAACCATAACTTTCTATGTGAACTTCAAAATAAACAGGACAACTCCTTAATAAGATAGAGCAGCTGAAATATGCAAAGATCCACAAGTAAACCTCAGAAATGAAGCTAGAAAGTTATCTTGATGAAAATAAAAACAAAAACAAATAAAGCTACACCAAGTGGAGAAATAGGCACAGAGTTAAAAACCAAAACAACTTTCCCCCATAAAAAAGAAAAACCTTGAAAACAGTCCTGCGAGCATGCATGAGGTACCTCTACCTATTTTCCATCACTGCCTTATTCACTGTAGGCTTTGTTACTCCTCCACTATATTAACTCTGGCCACCTGCCATACACAAGTCCTGAGATACCAACTTAAAACGTATGACATACATAGAACATACTTCTTATAAGCAAAAGAACTGAATACAGAAAAAGATCAAATTGCAGTGATAGATTTCTCTCCTTTACAAATCTTTCAAAAGTTGAATTACTGATAAATAAATGAAAAGCATTTGGAGTATTCCATGAAGTGACTGATAAATGAATGAAGCACATTTGTTCACATTCGTCATCTGAAGTGACAATTTCTATGAAAGGGCCAAGTCTTGGAAACACAAGTTTTAAGAATATCAACTTATGAAATGTAAATAAATGTGAGGAAAAACATAATGCAAGAAAAAAAAACTAGAATAAATTGTCAACTAATTATGGAGAATAAATTATAAGTTAAACAAACAAAATGATTGACTTTATTCACAGACTGAGAATTTTTATGGCTTCTTGCCAACATTGAGAGCATCCAACACAAGTGTCTATAATCAGTCATCATTTTAATCACATGCGTTAACTGTAGTCATGTAGTGTGAACTGTGTCCACCATCTAGTAGAGAAACTTCATCATGCTCAGGGGAAGCTAAAATGTCTAACTGGAAAGAGAAATCTGGGCCCGATATACGTAATATAGACACAATTCAGAACTTCTATCTTAGGAGCCATAACCAAAATTTAAAGGCTATCTGGTAGAAGAGGTGATATAGAACACAAAGGAAACCCTGAGACTTGGCAGCAAAAGCTCCGCGGAGTAGAAGCCTCATGTCAGAGCTTGAACGCTATTTCCACAAACATTCGGCTGTTTTTCTCTCCTAAGGGAGAATTCTGGTGTCTGAGACAAATCTTGTTATCAATCTGGGTGTAGCCAGGAACGTGGAATGATGAACAGTCATTCCTGCTTCATCTCCTCCTTGCATGCTGAAGCACTGAACTGATTGTTTGTTCATTATTTAGGAAGAATCCTTCTTCAAAAAATAATCACAAACAGGAGCTGAAAGAAACACACAAAAAACATACATAACAGTTTTCAAAAAGCGTGCACTGACTCATAAGATGTAGGAGTTTCTCTTAATACATCTGACAAAACTGAATTGATAATCCACAAAGTTTTAAGGGCTGCCATTGGGAAATGCTACTGTATTACTTCCAAACTCTTTTTCTGGGCTTCTCATGTATCAGAGATCAGAAAAATCTCTACAATCATCTCCTTACAAAGATGTTGAGTAACTTACATGGAAAGAAGCACTAATTGTTCGCTACGTGATATCTGGTGTGCTCCAAGTTGGACAACAATATGCCTGGAAATAGTGGATGTTTGAAAATAGTGGATGCTTGAAAATATACATTTAAAAAAATCTCTGTGTGTGTTTGTGTGTGTGTGTGTGTGTGTGTGTTCTCTAGATAATATAATATCCATATCCTCCATCTCCTTCAACAATGAGAGCCTAATATAGAAGCAAATCTGAAAATAGATGATGATTTACACTGTTTCCATAAATTATTTCATTTAAATCCTTTTCTAACATACTTTCTAAATCCCCAGCATCACATTAAGCTGGAAGAAGTTTTGTGGTTACCATATTTTTCAGACTATAAGACGTACTTTCCCCTCCCCCCAAAAGTGGGTGGAAATGTCTGTGCGTCTTATACAACGAATGTTGCCAAAGCCCCGCCCACCCACCATCCCCCACCTGCTGGCCTCTGCCTCCCAGCCATTGGCCTCCTTGCAGCAAACAGCCTGGTCAGCTTCAGCACAGTCTGATTTAGCACAAGCAGCTGATTGGCGGTTGGATTGGCCTCCCAGAATACCGACAATCAGCTTTCCAGGCTGCGGGGGTCGCCGCCACCCATCACCACCAGCACCGCTCATCACTGCTGCCACCTATCACTGCCTCCCCGTGCCCCATTTCTGGACTCCACATATCCCGTTTTTGGCTTCCACATGCCCCAATTTCAGCCTCTGCAGGTCCCGTTTTCAGCCCATTCCAGATGGCGGGGATTGCTGCCGCCTATCCCCGCCACCTGGAATGGGCTGAAAAGGGGACACACAGAGACCGAAAATGGGGCATGTGGAAGCCAAAAATGGGATGTGTGGAGGCCAAAATGGGAATGTGGAGGCAGCAATAGGTGGCAGCGGTGATTGGCGGCACTGGGGCTGATGGGTGGCGGTGATCCCTGCAGCCTGGAACAGCTGACCATCGATATTCCGGGAGGCCGATCCAACACTAATCAGCTATTCATGCTAAATCAGGCTGTACTGAAACTGACCGGGTTGTTTACTGCAAGGAGGCAAATTGCTGGGAGGCAGAGGCAGTTGTTTTTTCTTGTTTTCCTTCCGAAAAGCTAGGTGCGTCTTATAGTTCAGAGGGTTTTATAGTCCGAAAAATATGGTAATTGTCTCTAGCACAATGGCACCGGTGGTATCAAAAGTATTAGCAGCAATTTATCAGAAGAGACCTCATGGGCTTTTCATGAGTTTTCTGGATTTGATGAAAGACATAATGCAAAACATCTCTTGAGATTTGATCTCTTTTTTTATTAAGACAAACAGCATCTATTTTGATTTGTATTCCCTAGCAAGGTTAATTAAGCTAGAAAAGCCAGGTCTGAACTCTCCCACTCTTTCCTGCCCATTTTTACCGATAACCAGCAGGAACGAAATGAAGCTGTGGATTGAGATTTAAAATGTACTGAAAAAGGACTGTTTTTTTTTCTTTGCTGAACATTATACACCTTAAGCTCCTTATGCATCTTTAAGTTCTTTAATGACATATACATGCATTCAGCATTGTTAATTTAATCTCTAAATAATGTCCTATTTCTGAAACAAAAGATACTGGCAGTATTTAGGCTGGCAGCCTTTTGGCTGGTAAAGTGTAATTTTCTTTTTTTCTGGCTTCCCCCAGAACCCCCTTGCTGGATAATTTATGTTCCATGCCGGGCCCCAGTTTTCTTTAGTGCACTTTTCTGTATCATGCTGTTGTCTACCTCATGAGTTTTGTCTTGGCTTCTCCTCAACTTTTACAACTCTTCAACAGTAAAACACTGCCCAGCCCAACTCAGGATCTTCACCAATACTGCTCTTTACGAAAGCCAATACCCAGTCTTCAAAAACAAACACAGCCTAAGCCTAACAAGTTTGCAAGCCATGACATTTTCATCAAATTTCCTTTCTTACCAAAGTTTCTGTTTTTTTAAGACTTTACGTCTACCAGCTTTTCCCTGCAGAACAATTTTCCTATGAAAAACTAAGCTTCCTCCTACTAGCTTCAAATGATCATCCAACCAGAATAGAATAGAATAGAGTATCTTTATTGCCATTGCATTCTACAAATACAATGAAATTTGAAAGCTACTCCAGCACAGTGTCCCAAACACCACATCACAATCACACTACAGGGTATTTAAAAATTAAAATAATTAAAATAAGAATTAAAAACCTAGTCTAAAACCTATCTAGAACATACAGTAAGTTAGATAATTTGATTGTTTGATTCAAGACAATTATTGCCTTGGAAAAGAAACTGTTTCTCAGTCTATTATTCCTCATTTTAAGACACCTAAAACGCCTCCCTGATGGTAACAGTTCAAAATATGAATGTCCAATCTGTGGAGATTTTTAGTGCTCTAGAGGAGTCTGGTCTTCACAATCTCTTCCAAAGAAGAGAGAGCGAGCAACCGATGATTTTTTGTGCTGTGTTTATAACTCTCTGGAGCATCTTCTTATCCACTACAGAGCATCCAGCATATCACACCGTTACACAGTATGCCAAAATGCTCTCGATGGTAGAACGGTAAAAAGTAACCAGCACCTTCTCACCCAGACCACTCTTTTTCAGCAGCCTCAGAAAGTGCAGGCGCTGTTGGGCCTTCTTTGCAGTGGCCATAGTGTGGACTGACCAAGTAAGGTTATCAGAAATATGAGTTCCTAGAAATTTAAAACTATGAACTCTTTCCACACTGTCTCCATTGATATATAGTGGGAGAGGCTCTGCTTTGCATCTTCTGAAGTCTATAATCAATTCTTTGGTCTTCAGTGCAATGTGGAGAGCCATGGCAATAGCATCCTCTGTGGATCTGTTATTCTGATAGGCAAACTGGTTATGGGTCAAGGTTGGATGGGAGGCAATCCTGTATATATTTTAAGACCAGTCTTTCAAAACACTTCATAATTATGGGTGTGAGAGCTACTGGTCTATAGTCATTTAAAGTATCAGGAGAGGGCTTTGGGGGAACTGGAATAATAATGGAAGTTTTGAGACAAGATGGAACAATGGCCTGTGTAAGAGAAAGGTTAAAAATATTTGTAAACACACTTGTGAGCTGGTCAGCACATGCTTTGAGTACCTTCTCAGGTATCCCATCAGGGCCAGCAGCCTTTTTCACATTCACTGCTCTAAGCACTTGCCTCACATCACACTCTTGTACTGTGAACAGTTGAGTACCGGTGGTTTGTAGAGGTAGTGTGTTCGAAGACCTATTCAGTTCGAATCGGGCAAAGAAGCAGTTCAATTCTTCTGCCAGTGATGCGTCCTTATTGATCGATATGGGGTTGCTGCCCCTGTAATTAGTGATGTGTTTAATTCCCTGCCAAGCCCGTCATGGATCATTATTTGGGAAGTAGTCCTCAATCTTCCTTTTATAGTCCTTTTTTGCCTCCTTGATGCCCCGCTACATTGCCTATTTGGGTTTCCGTATGCCTATGTCAATCAGAATAGAGCTGGAAGGGACTCTGGAGGTCCTCCAGTCTAGCCCCTGCCCAAGCAAAAGACCCTACACTATTTCAGACAAGTGACGGTCCAGTCTCTTCTTAAAAACCTCCAGTGAGGAATTTCTGAAGCCAAACCATTCCACTGGTTAATTGTCCTCACTGTTAGGAAGTTTCTCCTAATAGCTTTGGAGAATAAATATTGGAATACTGCTTTCATGCACTTTAAGTATCAACCAATCTTTTGTAATGTAGTGGCCAAAACTGGATGTAGTATTCCAGGTGTGGCCTTATTTTGTTTTGTTTTCCTTTTTTGAAGATGGGAATCAAAACAGCCCTTTTCCAATCATCCGATAGTTCCTTGGTGCTCAAAGATTTTTTAAAGATATAATACAATGGTTCTGAGAAAACATCTACTTGTTCCTTCAGAACTTTGGGATGTAATCCATCATGTAGTCCCTGTGATTTATATTCATCAAGATCAGAAGGTGTTCTCTTACAATCTTCTTGCTTATTTTAATTTTTATTTCTAGTCTGCCTTTTACAGTTATGTTTTTAGTAGGTTGAGTTCTAGTTTCTTTTTGTGTGAAGACTGATGCAAAGAATGAGTTAAGCAGCTCTGCTACTTCCTTGCCATCTTCTCTCTTTAGTGGACTGACTGTTTCCTTGACTTTTTCCTAGTTACTTATTTAATAATGAAAGAAACTTTTTTTCATCATTATCTTTGACTTTTACTGCAATTTTTTGTTCATTCTGAGCATTTGCTTTCCTGACTTCATCTTTGCAGTTTCAGGCCATCTGATAATAGCCTTAATTAGGTGTCCCTATTTCCATTTTTTGTGCATTTTTGTACAAATTTATCAGAGAGATCTTTGTGCAACCATGCTTGTTTCTTCTTGGGTTTCTTATTTTTCTTTTTCAGGGCTTTGTGTTGTCCTGGGCTTTTATGATCCTATTTTTCAGTGTTTCCATGTTTCTTGAGTTTTTTTCCCCTTTAGGATTTTCATCCATGAAATTTTGCTTAGGCTCTCTCTGAGTTTGCTAAAATCAGCTCTTTTTTAAGACTGGTTGGATTATATTCTATAGCTTGTGTTTGCATTATATTGAATTCCAGTATGACGTGGTCACTCTTGCCTAAGGTTCTGGCAACTTCACCTCCCTCTATCACTCCTTCTCTATCGGTAAGAATTAGGTCCAATGTAGTTTTTCCTCTAGTTCCCTCCTCTACCTTTTGGGTGACAAAGTTGTCAGCTAAGTTGGTTAGGAATCTGTTCAATCTCCCA